CGGTTACCGCTGAGTCTATGTCTATGTGAGAATAAAGCCAGTTCCAGTCCATCTGAGCCAATTCAATATCAATCGCGTTATAGTCAATTTTAGTTATTTTTCTGGAGACAGGTGTTTTGGTTGGCTGTTTCTGTATACCTAAAATTACAGAATCGTGATCCGTGATGCCTGACTGACAGACAATAACTGTTGTGCTACAGCGAGATTTAACCAGTACATGGTCCAGGCAGCTGTTTTCCCTAGTAGGAAAGCTATGACCAGGATAGTATCCATGATAACCGGTCAAATCCAGATATTCTGTAGATCGTGGGTCTGTGTATCCAGCCTTAATATCCAGGTTCATGTCACCGATTATAACACATGACTGTCCAGTACCTAACGGTATGACTTTATCTAGGGAGTCACAGAAATCTGTGATATTGGAAAATGATGGGGACCGGTAAAGAGCAATAACTGAAACCTGATTAGATATATTTATCAGTAAACAGTTTGAGTTTTTGAAAGATGGCTCTTGTACAGTAATCTGGAGGTGCGATCTTGTGAAAACGACAATGCCGTCGTTCTGATTAAGGTATGTTTTAGAGCAGTGATACGTGTATCCGTCAAGGTTGAAACTGGGGGAGAATTCGTTTAACCAACATTCTGTCAGTATAATTATTTCAGGTAGAAAGAGTAATCGTTTAAGAAGTGAAATGCAATGCAAGCAGTGAATATTGAGGTGCAGGTTCATCATTTTCTAAATCATTTATATTTAGGTGACCATTGATGTTGAGTTTGCAATAAGTAAAATAGTATTAGTTAAGATATAAATATTAAGGTGTATTGTAAACTTGTTTGTGGTTCCAATAAAAAAAAACAAGATATTATATTAGTTTATTTAATCATCATGATTTTGTGTAGTGCTTTTCTCTTAGAAAATATAGGAGTACACCGTTTTCCTGCCGAAGAGAAAAGAAGGAAACAATGGATCAAAGCGGTACGTCAAAAATTGGAAACCAACTTCGTCATCTAATTTATGTAGTAAACATTTCAAGCCTGATGATTTATAAAACATGAACGCAAACAATTTAGAAAAAGGAGCTGTGCCAACATTTCATTTTGAAAGCCAGAAGCTTCAAAGTCAACGAGGCAGCTGAGATATGTAGCTAGAAGTGATTCAACATGCGAAACTAATGATCAAACCTATGATGTTTCCTCAAACAGCAACATGCTCCTGAAATAGGCTGTGAAATTGTGATTCCAAAAGTAATCGAGGAAGCAAATGTGAACTTGAATATGTTTGGCGACAAATCAAATTCTGACAAATGTACACAAATTTTGAACATATTTACGGCTGCTTAGGTCGTTTCAAGAATGATGATGAAGTTATTTAGTTTTACACTGGGTTTGAGTCGTATCAAAAACCAAAAATTACTTCAGTCACCATGTCTCAAATGTAAGCTATGAAGACCAATATTTATGACAAGACCAAGTTATGTTCAACTTGCAACTAAAATATTTTATATTTGTTTTATGTGTGTCTCACCCATATTACATGGGACTCATAATATAAAGAGCGAAAAGCGAGTGTTACATTGTACAGTGGCATTAGGTGCCGTAATGTGTACCTCTACCTACCCCTTCGTGGATAACAAGGAGTGATTAAGTTGTTTTATGTGCTGTAATTTCAGGGAACAATATCAAAAGACCATAGCTGGGCACCGTTAATCAAATAGTTAACTTCGTTAATCCGCTACAAAAAAAAGTTAGCTTCGTTAAACGTTAAAGCGTTACATTTCGGAAGAATTAACGCAAGTTAACGTTAATCGTTAAACTGTCAAACACCAAGCGGTCACCGGTGACCGCAACCTATTGTTCTATAATTGTGTCTACAAAACCGGTACTCGACGAGTTAATCCGTTAATATGTGTAAAATTACATTTTTTTTATCGTTGCGTTAGTGAACTTAAAAAACAAAAAAGAAAATTCTTCTCAGTTTTCTCACTCGCACGCGCCGGCCAAATAGGTATCTATAGTTTTGTTTTTGTTTCACGCGCCGCTCAGCACTTGTCATTTTAACGGAAATTAACGTGTCCGTTAACATTTTTAAAAGTTAACTTAAAAGTTAATCCGTTAATCAGAATTTTAACTTCGTTAATTAACGATTAACGAGTTAATGCCCAGCTATGCAAATGACAAAACACTGTTTTATTTTTTCTTTATGATTTGTACTTTTAAGTAAAACTCAATACTTGAATATTGAAAAGTTTATTCTAAACGAATTCTTAATTCTTGTAAGAACACAGCGTGATGCTCCATACAACTTCCCAGTTCCCACCAGAATCGCGCGTTAGGTACCTTTTTTTTCTTCTTTGGCAACCGACTCTCCAATAAGATGTTGTCGACTATACTTACTGCCAGTGTCGGGTGGTGACGGCAGACTACTGAACCGTCGAAGTTAACTTTGCGGTAGTTTTTAGTAGTTAGTAGCTGAAAGGACAAAACAATTGGGTTAGTAAACATATAAATACTAACAACAATTTTACTGTATGTGTACTGTACAGGTGCGAAGAAAATAGTTGAGGGGACGTACATACACAATACAGACACACAAAATATATACACCATTTACATAATAGTCACCGTCATAGCATAATCTCATTATCATTAATAAATCTACATAAACAATGGATTAATTTAGGGGAAAAGTGAGTTAAAAGGAGGTGGAAATTAATTGGAAGTGGGATTTGGATACTGGGGAGTTTTTTTATAAAGGTCAAAAGATTGGGAATTTAAGGGACACGAAAAAAATATATGGTCTACAGTTCCCTCGTCAAGGCCGCATTCACACAGCGAGCTGTCGCGGACACGGATCTTGTTGAGGAAGACTGGGCTACTACAATTACCGAGTCTGAGTCGGCACAAGGATGAAACCCGTGGATGAAACAGTGTGGCGGGGGAGCTTAGGGTACTTGGAAAACCAAGGCCTCCGCCGGATGCCGGGCTGGACACTTGCATAGTAGGCTCCTTTACTTTATTACTTTTGGAAGTGTCTACCCACACTGCAGCCCATGAGTCAAAAAGTTTGTGTTTGGTGTCGGCACATACATCATACCCGTACACCTACACCACGTAATGTTGACGTTCGACATCGTCGTTCTGGTACAATTTTTGCGCGGGAAACTTTACTAATAATCCGTCCTCTAGGATATATGGCATCGTCAACATTACAGCTAGTGCTGTCGATAATACAGATGAATCTAGTGACGTTCATTTAGTTGATTTTCGTCGTCTAACATTCAGCCATCCTGAATCTTCTGTGTTCTCGAAGGATCTTTTATTGAGTTTCGGCATCAGGTTCCTGTACCGAAGACTCGTAGCCCGATGACCAGATGGCAATTGCAGTTATTTAACCTTAAAGTAATTATAAACACAGGCCCCTTACGGAAAGTATGGAATTGAGCCCATTAGAGCATTTCAAAATTTAAGCCACTTGTGGCAAGCATGATTACAAGCCTTTTACGGCATATATGAATATAAGCCTCTTTGCGGCAAATATGAATTCAAGTCATTTACGGAATCTATGGATATAAACCGCTTATGGCATCCATTAGTACAAGCCCCTTACGGCATTCATGGATATACGCCCCTCTCGGCATCCATTTTGTACATGCCACTAACGGCATTCATGGATGTACGCTTCTTACGGCATCCAGTTACACAAGCCCTAACGGCATTCATGGATATAAGCTTCTCACGGCATCGATTTGTACAGGCCCCTAACGGAATTCATAAATATACGCCTAATGAGTTGATGAACTGTACTCCGCTATCTTCCTAGCAGGGAATAGCCTAGCATTCAGCATCACTAATGTTTTTGGGTAGTCAATAATCCAAGGAATTAAAAAAGGAATTTTTCTAATAGTTTCTACGCTTAGTGCAATATATTTTTTTAAAACTAAATCCAGTAAATTCTATTTACCAAATTAGCGACACAAAACAAAATTTGATAATAGTTTACATGCTATTTCAAAACGAATGATATTTCTGAAAGTATTAGTATTAATAAACGCTTATTAGTGTAGTGAATTAAAACTAAAATCACTTAAATCGAACCAGTAGTTTTTTATTTATTGATGGTTCGTAGTTTGATCGGGAATTTTTTTCACCAAAACCGAAAACGTTGAATATCTCAGAAACTACTGGAGCCACTTTCGGACCTGGGACCTCATCGTCCCATGGTTTTATTATCAACTTCCGAGAGGAATACGTCGAGTTACAACTTTACAAGTCACTACAAGGACTCTACACTCCAAAGACCTTAGAAATAATTTCTTGATTTGACACTTGTCAATTTAGTCATTTTTGACACCTGTCACCTGTCGGAGTGTAGATGTGAATGTGATCCTATCTCAATTCTCAATCAATCTGTCTCAATTCAATTTGAGTTGAGTTGAACTATCTTCTTTTTTCGAGTAAAACGTTATTTTCAGTTTTATTTCCAATGACCATTGATCTGTTGCCTACAGTTGCGTCGGAGAATTGTTTGAAATTGCAGTTATTCGAAAAACAATAATTTTTACGTGTACTATAAATATTTACTGTGCTAACGAAACAAATCGACCGTACAATGACTACCTTGCAGTTTATTCAGATAAAGGATTTAAAACCTGGCATGAAGAACATAAATGCAGAGTTTATAGTATTAGAGGTAGGTCCACCGACACTCACTAAAGAGGCTAGAGAAGTGCGGACTTTGCGCGTAGCTGACGCCACTGCTTCTGTGAATCTCTCTGTGTGGGATGAGCCTGGCGCGCTACTGCAGCCCGGGGACATCGTGCGTCTCACACGCGGTTACGCGTCACTCTGGCGCTCGGCGCTCACTCTCTACTCTGGAAAGTCTGGAGACATTCAGAAAGTGGGTGAATTCTGCATGCTGTTCAACGAGCAAGTAAATATGAGCGAGCCGCAGCCGACGCCGCCACCACCGGCTGCCGGCGCTGCGACTGCAGCTGGGGACCGATCCAACGGGGCGCACGTTCCACTGCGGCCTCTCCAGGCTCCCTCCGCACCTGCTCCTCCGCACGCTGCTAAGACAGATCGCTTCGCGCCCGCACAGGACCACACTGGCAAACACACGCACAAAACATACGTGCGCGGACGCGGCCACCAGCGAGGCAACAACCGGAGGTAGCAGTCACACCTGCCAGAGTTTAGTGCGTTCCATGATATTGGTGCATTCATTGTAGTGTGAACCGAACACTGAGCACACATTCTGGCTTGGACACAGTGCATCCGCTACAAGGAAGCAAAGACTTAAATAAAGTGTAAAGTAAATAATTTAGTAAGAAATTTATTTTTTTTCAGGGATATAAGTGTAACCAATGTGTACTGCAGGTATGTCTAGTGTTTATGTACATCACTAAAATTGATTTACCCATGTTAAGCTAATGATGTAATAGTATTTGCATCGAGGGAAACCAACCAATTGAAGGGTTAGGTCAATATATTACTATGTAAAAAATTGAAATTTTGTTATGAAAAGCCACTAAGTAATATGAAAACACAAACTAGCTTGTTGTCATACGAGGAATGTGGCTGCACAGCCTGCGCCTGCATCCCTTGCTTCATCTGGGCTAGGATTAAAAAGTAGCTTCGAGTCCCACTTGTACCAACAGTGTGAAAAACCATTGGAATGGTCGCTTAAAATTATTAGAATAAAATGGAATAACTTATTTGCATTGAATGTAAGTATATAAGGTCTTACAAAGATAATTACTTATGGTGTTAGGCAACAGTAACTTGATTTGATTTCTATTAATTTTATTTTATATAAGAATGTTTTACACTGTGCGTCAAGTAGCAAGTAGCATACTTATTCCCTAAATATTTGCTAGCAAAATATGAAAATTGATTTAAATTGATTAAGGGCAGATGTTTCCAATGCCTGATAACTTTGTCAGAGGATTGTGATTTATATTTAGTTTGTTTTAATGTATTGGAAAGTTGAAATACATAATTATAGTTAGTAAGGAACTAACCCAAATGTATTTTTTGGTAGACCGACATGATGTTATGATTCATAAACCATTTTATAACACCATAACATGTAGGTAATCAGTCATGTATTGACATGGTTTTTTGAAATGTTTATTGTATGTTAAATGCATAGTTATTTATTATTTAAGTAAAAATAATATAAAAGCTATCATTACAACTGAAGTGACAGAAAAATAAACATGTGATTTCAATTTTAAAATTTGATTTTGTTTTATTTTTTCAAGAACATCAATAATCCATAGAGAATGTCGCTATATTTGCGTTTACACAATTAAGTTTGTTTTTTGTGTATATAGTTTTTCGGGATAATAAGGTTGTAATGAATAATTTTGTATAGAACTTATGGCGCCGACTTCTAACCTATCAGTGGGTGGGTAATCTATCAGTACTAATAATAGTTATTTTTTGCTTTTTAATTTTGACCTATTGTTTGTTATTAGTTGTTGATTTTTGAAGTTAGTTTTTTAAACGCAGTTTTTATTTTATTATTATATCATTTTCAGTGTAAAGTTACATAGACCCGTTTTGTCACTTATAATTAGGGTTGCCACCTTTTATTTTGGTATTTAAAGTACATTGACGATTATAGGTAAGTAAAAAAAGTACATAGTACAAAAATAAAGTACAGTTTATTCTTATTTTTTTTTTATGTGTATTTGATGGGGCGACGTTTGACCATTATCTTGCCTGGTGGTAAGCGATGATGCGGTCTACCATGTAGCACGTCGTCCTATAAGCAACGTATTCACTCGGGCCTTGAAGACTCCCAGGTTATACCCTTCAGGAAATACAGACTCTGGCAAAGAATTTAGAATATTCTATTTAAAAATATATTTTTATTGCTTTTTGCAATTTGTATTAAATTAGTATTTTTACTAAACAATTGCATCTTTACTAGAAATTGTCTAAGTGGCGCTGGCGAGTGGCGAAATCGATTCAACATTAATCGATAAATATCGATATGGAATCGATAAGTTTATCGAAAAATACTTACAACTTTAATAGAAATGAAGTTTGCAAAAATAAAGTATTTTCGTGTACTTTATTATTCTTATAAAGTATTTTTTTTTTTTTTTTTTTTAAGGGGGGAAAATCATCGAATGACTGCCCCCGCCTGGGTGAGGCGGGAGGGAGTGTCAGACTCTTACTGACTAAAAACCACCCCGTTCCTTCTCCTGCACGTCGAGCCGGAGCCCCGGTTACCCGTTAGGTTCTCCGCGACATTCTTATAAAGTATAGAGTACAATTACCTTAAATAACGTACAATACTTTATTATAAAGTACGGGTGGCAACCCTACTTATAATCTACATAGGTGCAAAGCCCTAATCAATACAAATTATACAAGCCCAAACAAAAGGTAGTTACTATAAACCGTTAAAGAGTTCCCTTAACAATTACACTTCTTCATCATCAGTTCCTTAATGACAGTCCCACTCTATCTAGGTATAAAGTCCTCATCAACATCAATACAAATTAATCAACTCCAAACACAAAGTAGTTAATATAAACCGTTGAGGAGTTCTCTCGACTGTCTGTCGGCTCCATTATCAGGTCGACTCCAGACCCTTATCAAATTATTGTAGTGTTAAAAATACTAATTGAAAAACCATAAACGCACTACTCGCCTCTACAGTTTTCAAAAGTTCCCCTCGGTTTCCCTAGGATTCCATCATCAGATCCTGACGTCATGGAAATGGGACCATCTCGGAATACCTAGGTAAGTAGGTATACCTTTTCAAACAAAACAAGAATTTGGGAAATCGGTTCACAAATGGCGGAGTAGGTAATACGCGAACAAACTACAAAAAAAAATCGGCCAACATAGTACCTCCTCCTTTTTTTGAAGTCTGTAAAAAGTGAGTTTATTGATACCAAGTTTCAGCGTAATCGGACTGGTAGTATCATGGCAAAATACTTATGTATTTATAAAATACATAAGTATTTTAAAAAATAGATATATATTCAGGATAGATACTTAAATAAATAGGATTGACGCTACTGAGCTTTCCTGAGCTTTAGGCCGCGGTGATCCGAGCAGCGATCTTTCGCAGTGTTTGCCACGTCATATTCTTTTCGGCTGGACGCCTTTTGCGCATCGGTACATCCGATCACCAGAGCCTCACCGCCATCGCGCAACCAAGAACATGTCCGGCCCTCTCCGTATGGTAAACCACTAATCGGTGTGTCGGTGCCTGTTTTAGTGTCTGCCTGTGGGACGCCCGACGCCACCTTAGCAATAACTTACGGCCGCTCGGGCCAAGGCGTCCCACTAGTCCCACTACAATAGAGTATGACCCGTGTTGGTTTCGCCATTTCTGTTGCAGTTTAGGTTAGGTTCGGTAAATCCAAACAGAAGGTGAAGGCCAAATCCAGTGCCCACGACCGTGGGGTTCGATGAGGCTCAACGCCTATTGAGGGCGTCTCTGGCGCAAACCAGATGGGCGGAGGGGCAGAAGGACCTGGAGGAGAAGGTCGCTGCCAAAGAGCGCGTGTTATATAATTTTTAAGATATCTTCAAAAATAGAAAGATTACTTACGTTAGATAATGGCAACACTTATATGCGACACTTCCATAATATGAGTATCAAAATAAAACTAATAAAATGAAGATGATGTATATTTATTTATGTAAAACAAAATTATTTGGCTTCATACTAATTAAAATCATATTAACTAGTATTTACTTACTTATTATTATACTAGCTGTTGCCCGCGACTTCGTCTGCGTAGATTAATGCCTTCTGACAGAATTCATCAGAATCAATTCAGTGCCCAATTAAGATTTACCTATTGTGAAATGATTTATCGTAATTTCAATAAATTAAAAATCCCGCAGGGTTCTTACCAGTCCCGGCCCGATCACGTAAGTTTTGAGTAATAAAAACTTCAACTGTTGTACAGAATCTCTATGAAATAAGTTCAGTGGTTAAAAGATAGAGAGTCCTGGAGCATTGACGCATAGTTCCCGTTCCCGAGGGACTTCTGAGATAAAAACTATCATACGTTACTCAGGTCCCAAATCATCGTTTTACCGAATGTAATTCAAAAAGATTCAATGATTTTTCAATTTTCATTCCCATTTTCACACCAACTATCATTTCCTATTTTATCCCCTTAGGGGTGGAATTCATCAAAATCCTTTCTAAGGAGATACCTATGTCATAGTAACTTTATGCATGCAAAGTCTTAGCCCGATCGGTTTAAAACTGGCAAAGTATCACACAAACTTTCACCCTCTATGTTACCCACTTTGGGGTGGAAATGTTCAAAAACCTTTCTAAAGGGACGCGTACGTCATAATATCTACCTGCACGCCGAATTTCAACCCGATCTGTGTAAAACTGACAAAGCCTCATACAAACTTTCATCCCCTACATTATCCCATTGGAGTTGGAAATGATCAAAATCCTAACTTGGAGATGCCTACGTCATAACATCTACTTTCATGCCGAATTTCATCCCTATCGGTGTAAAACTGACAAAGTTTCATACGAACTTTCACCCCTATTTTACCCCCTCGGGGAGTGGAAATGATCAAAATCCTTTCTTAGAGGATGTTTACGTCAAAATATCTATCGGCACGCCGAATTTCAACCAGATCGTTTTATAATTGACAAAGTTCCATACGAACTTTCACCCCCTATTTTACCCTCTTAGGAGTGAAAATGATCAAAATTCTTTCTTAGAAGATGCTTACGTTATAACATCTATCTGCATGCCAAATTTCAACCTGATCGGTTTAAAACTGACAAAGTCTCATACAAACTTTCATCCCCTATTTTACCCCCTTGGGGGTGGAAATTATCAAAATCCT